CCCCCCCAACTAGTGAAATGTTCTTTTTAATGGATCAGTGCTTTTCCCTCCCTTATAATCAAATCATGTCTTGTCTACCAAGCCTGTCAAATATTATCCAAATCCAAAAGCACTGACATCTGTCCCTCCGATAAGTCTTTAGTTGCATAAATGGCTACAGTAGGAGTGCTAAGCCTTGTGTAGATATGTAAAATATGCCCACACCTCGGTTCAGGTCTTTTGTAGCTGTTACCACATCTCCAACACAGGTTCACAGGGATCAGAGGTCAAGGGTCAATTTAAACTTAGCTAGGTTTCATGAGGAACAGAAAGCTCCAAATTGAAAACTGGCCTTTTTTTAACACTGGTGGTGCGAAACTTAATCTGGAAGAGCTGATTAAGCCTAGTCATCTCATACTGTTATGCACCAACCAGGACAGACATCATACATACAAGTATTTAATTAATTAAATTATTTTTTGTGACAAATATACAAACAACTATGTATATGGAATATGGAAGTTTTTTTTTTTTTCCTATTTGATTTGTGGCCCATTACCTGCACAGATCCAGTTTGCATTGTAATTGAGGTCAATACTGACCAGACATCCTATTCACATTAAATACATTTATTTCAGTAAAATTCAGCGTTACTGCCATCAGTCAGCCTTAGCAATCCTTTACAGTGGCTGAGAGGTATCAATGAACTGCAAATTCAACAATGCAGAAGCCACAACAGAAAGGAAGTGAGCAACAACGTCCGTTGACAGTGAAATGGGGTAAGCTAACTAGCTGCTGGCTGTTGCTTCATGTTTAGTGTACAAATATGAAAGTGGTGTCGATCCCCTCATCTGTCTCTTGACAAGAAAAAAAAGAAGCTTCTTTCTGAAAATGTCAAACTATTGAACTATACTTGAGTTTGATGTAGTGTTGTATACAGATTTTACATTTGGGAATAAATGAACATTTATCAGATTGAGTATTGGAATTAACCCTGATATGAGGTATCTGTATTGGGAGGAAAAAAGCTGGATTGGTGGACCTACCGACATCTGTCCTGGAGTTAATTAGTCAGTAGCAAACTAGCTTCTTAGCTTACTCCGAGACAAGAGTGTGTGTGGTTTTTGTAATGGACTGCAATAGATTGTCTATGTAGGTGTATAAAATGTACCTTGTACTTTTGATTGGAAAGCAAAACATTGGGCACACCTCAGAACATAATGGAGTTCAGTTCACCACAACAACAACAACAACAACAAAAAACACACTTCCTCCTCTGTCCTCTGCAGATCGTCATCAGCATCGGCCTGATGTTCTACGTCGTGCACCGGGCTCAGGTAGAGCTCAACGCAGCCATCGCCGCCTGCCAGATGGAGCTGAAGTCGTCACACATGAACGGTTCCTCCACCAATCACAGCGGCTTCACCTACTGCAGCAAAAGGGCGACGGCCGCCAGCGGGAACTGCATTAATGTGGTGTGAATTGACACACGAGGCAGTAAGCCCGTACTACTCGGTGACCGAATTGTAAGACTGCAGCGCTTGAGGGATCGGCGTGGTATATAATTTCCAACATCGTATTCTTACAACCCTTGTGAGAAAACCCTGAAAGCATACGTCTTTAGTCTGGACGGTGTTTTCGAAGTGTGGGACCACGCACCTTTGAAGAAATGGTGCTGATGAAAATAGTTTTGCGGTACATTATATTGGGAGGGTTTAGTTTTGTAAATTATTTTCATTAAGGTACTTAACATTTACTCTGTTACAGGAGATGTCAATGAAATGATGTTGTTTAAAGATATCAGAGGTGGCTGAGTGCTTGAGTCATTAAAAAAAAATAAGCTGGGTATTAACTGCCTGCTAACACTATGAATGTGAAATCTGGAGCTTTCTAGAGAACCAAGGAATTGTTTTTCAATTTTAGTGTCAAAAGATTGCCAACCTATGCACCTTTCTCTCATACCACATCCGTTTTTGTTTTAAGAGATTTAATGATTTATCTACATCCAGTACAACAACAACAAAGGGCATTATTAATATTTTTTTTTAAAGATTTGTCTTTTTAGTCCAGTTCATTTGTGTTCAAGTGTCTTATTTTTGGACTATGGAGAGAGGAGCATTACCGGCCTATCTGACTCTGTGATTTCTGCTGGCTTACAACCACATCAGCTGAATTGGCCTTGTTTGCCCGGAGGTCATTTTAGCGCTTTTGCAGTTTTGATAAGAGCAGCTGGAGAGGAGAGCAGATTTCACAGCAGGAGACTCAGGAATGTTTCTGCCAGGAAAGTTGAAGTACAGCGTGATCAGACACATGTTCCTCTATAGAAAGATGCCCACACTGGACTGACGCTGAAGCTTTCCTGTAAATGTTTATTAATAATAGTTCATTTTGGGTTGATTTTTACGTTTGTATTTGGCTGTGAGATTATCCATTAGAATTATTACATAGTTTTTGCTTAAAATCATAGTTTTGACAATTCTGTGCAATACGAACAACGGTGACAAAATGGCATGAATGTCATATTTCAGTGCTGAAACCAAACTAATCAGAAATGCTCTCGCCTGACAAAGTAACATAAACTTAAGTCTGTGTTTATTTAAGGGTTTACTTACATTATAGACGAGTAAGCTAGATAAGATGAAGAGGCTATTATTTTTTATGTGCCATAATTTGATAAATGCTTATTAGATGCCATGACACTGGCCCCACCTGAGCTGAGGCTACATGTGACTTATGACTTATTTTTATTACTTAATATTGCTGGTAATTATAGAATTTTTTTGTGTGTTTTAGCTCTTAATAATATATATTATAATACAACAACAAAGCTCTCATGCTGTAGGTTCTTTTGCACAGTCCACTACAACAGACAAACATTATTTTCATACAGTTAATACGTTGAACTAGGAAGGGGTTTGGTTGGTCAGAAGTTGAAACTGATGTGTCTCAGAAGCCGACAATCAAACACAACACGGACACTAAGTGATGAATGTGATAATACTTTTTATTTTTTACATGAATTATTGTGATGCTGCTCCTCAGACTATGTCTGATTGAGGAATAATAAGGGCTCTTATATGAAAAATCCATCTTTATCTCCCCGTATTTGTTCACGAAAGCCTGTTTTGTAATACTTGCAAAATGTTTTGTTTTTCATTTTAATTTTTGTACTACAGTTTTTTTTTTTGTGTCTTCAAAGCCAGATTTACTGTTCCCCCAAACACATTCCATGCTGTCAGTCCTCTGAAAAGCTGTAGTTATTTTCATGCTAAATGTTGGTTGAAAGGGCCCCTTCCTGTCTGAATTTAGCAATAATGTTTGAAAGCAAAAAATATGATAGAAGTCCTACCAATAAGATCTTTAGCCAAGTGTTGGGAATAGCTGTTTACTACCAGTGTTAAAGATTTTTCTCTCAAAAGTGATCAAAAACTGCATTTGAGTTGTTAGTCGATCCATGTCCCGCTGTAAGGTTGAGTATCAATATACCAGGTTTGTGTTACAGTGTTACCTCCCGCTGCCTCTGATGGACATTTCTGCGCTGCCAATGATGGGGAAGAGACACACAAACATCTGTGATCAGAACAGCTTGTTCAGATTTGTAGCACCTTCTTTGGAGAGTCTCTAACATACTGATCGCTTATTGATGTTTTTAGCGATCAGGCTCTCACTCCTGTCACTGAAAAAAATCCTCTGAATCCAACACACACATTTTCTCTTCTTGTTTGAATTAAAAGTTTATGTAGAGAGATGAGTACATTTTCAAAGATTTATAAAAATCTGCTCGCTACTCTCATATTTTTCCCCCAGTTCTTAATGAGAAAATTTAAAAAGGTTCTTGGCAGCAGTGACATATTTTAGGAAGTGTCTCTACCCTCCAAACAAAGTGTGAATCGATGAAGCTGTTCAGACGTGGGAAAGAAGTGGATTTAATACCATGTTTAATGCAAAAATCAAATACAAGAAACTTGATGGGCCACCGTGGACACACTTTCATCACTTCTCTCAACTGGGATTTTGATAAACTTGAGATTGTGGAAAAATGTTTTACAGTAAAGGCTTTGGTTCTTCCTAGGTGGGCTCTACTTAGATATAGTTATGCAACAACTGATTCCTAAGGGAAGTATATTTCATAGACACCCACACAAGACCTGAATCTGGGATGTAACTGCACACCTGAACTGTTAAAGGGTCAAGTTAAGGGTCTCGTTTGGTGCTATGAAATGCAATACTTCCCATCTGTATCAAGTGCATTACACATATGCTGTATTTTGTAATACAGAGAATTTTACAGTGCATAAATATTGATATTTATCGCTGTACAATGCTTGTTCAGTGTTATTTATGAGCGAAAGAAAATAAAACCTGTCCAACTTTGTTACAAAATGTTTTTCATTTCTCTTTATTACATGTATTTAAAAAAACTCATATTTTATGAATGATTAATAATCACACTAATTTTATTTTTAAGCCATGTTAATGTATTTTCTCTTTGCACATAGTAATTCATATTTATTAAGCACAATCTTAAAGGAATAATTTAACATTTTGGGAAATACACTCATTCACTTTCTGACAGAGAGTTTAGAAGATTAATTCCACCTTCATTAAATATAAGGCTAAAGCCTGAAGCCTGTTAGCTTAGCTTAGCACAAGATTGGAAATGAGGAAGCAGCTAGCAGGTCACTGATGAAAGTGTTTTATTGCTGTTTGTTGAATCTGTACAAAAGCCAGTGTAAAACCCATTTTATGTAAAACGGTGAATTATTGTTTTTACACATAAGTTCCTGTACAGATTAAACAATCTGCATGTTAATGAGTGAGCTTTAGAGGTGCTGGTTGCCAGATGTGGTTATCATTTGACAAACCCCCAGGCTAGCAGTTTCACACAGTTTCTTTTTCTCTTTGTGCTAAGTTAAGCGATTTTCCTGCAAGCTGTTAACAGTGTAAGCAATATTTACATGAACGTGGTATCAATCTTTTAACTCTGCGCCAGAAAGTGTATTTCCCAAATTAAAAGCTTGTATCTAGTCCACTCCTTATTTTGTTTAATAATTTACAGCTCAGGATACCTTATGTAACACTGAGTGAACCCCTGTCCTTGTTTGCCTTTATTAAACTTTCTGTCAACCTTGTTGTTTGTGATGAAAATAGTAGCCTGAAGTAACTGGTATCAGACTTCTTTTTTACACAAGCTTCCACTGCAGAGGTCAGACACCATGGTAACATTTTAAACTAATATATATCACTATGAGACTTATTTGCAATTGCAATATTTATGTTTAAATATGCAATTGAGGCATTATCTAATGCTAACTGTTGGTGAATTTAGGGGAACCTACAGAAGCAAATCGACAAAGTGTAGAACAATAAACACCTAAATGTGTATTTTGGGTGTTTTCTTTCGTGAAAGAAGTCATGTTATGGAGGCAAAATCTCCAAATTCAAAAACCAATTCATGAAAAACTATGTTTTTGCCTGTGGTGTCCTGCCTTAAATTTCAGTCTTTGTCGAGCTGCCACACATTTCATAAAATCCTTTTTTATCTCACATCATAACCTCGCCCCAAATCCTAACATGAGTCTCTAAATATCACCTAGCTTCCTCCCTGACCCTTTCAGAGTGATGGGAGACAAAATGTTCTCACTCAGAAGGTTTCCCCTTATCTTGCAAACCTCTAAATAACAGTCAGTCCTCAAATATGCAGTAGAAGCAGCAGCAGCAGCACTGTACGGCCAGAAATAATGCTGGCTTCTGGGACAGTTTGTCAGAGCAATTTTGAAGGGAAGTAGTGATGGATGTGGCGGTGGTGATAGAGAGTGGAGCACCACTTACGCTTGCCCTTGCCTTGCCTGTGACAAGCTATCTGTACAAAGGGGGAGGTGGGTGCTTTTGTGTGGACGGTGTCTGACAGACATAGTCCAGATAGATTCTGCTTGTCAACAGTGCTGGGCGCATGTAACCACACACAAACAAACACATATACAGTGGAAATATTGCCCACAGCCATCTGCTCACAACCCAAATAAAAAAATAAATAAAAAAAGCCACAGTCTATCAATCAAACAGTAACAGATCATACTCCTCTTGCATTGTATTGCTCCATCTGTTACCAGGAGCTGCAGAACAGATTCGTCTGCTGCTCTTCACACAACCCGCCGATCTCTTCCGGGCTCGGGTCAGATCTGTGTCCGATCCATCATCGTCCAACCCTGCCTCAAAGGACAAACCTCATCCCAGAGCCGCCCCGCCAGCACATGGATACGTCCAACACAAAACCAAGAACATTCATTTTGACGGGCCTCAAATGAAAGCCCTAGTTCTTACTGAGGGCTATGCTTTTGGAGGAAAACTCCAAAAATACATCTGTGAGGCTTGAAAAACACATCTCAGGGTGAAATTGTAAGAGAGAATAAAAAAGCAGGGTGAGTGAAATGATCTTGGAATATGTCCACGCATCCTTCCAGAGGGAAACTTATGCGGATGTTTATGGATTTGTGGAGGAGGGAAACGTTGATGGGTCTCTGGCAGAGGATTCCTGCTCGAGGCAGGGGGATAGATCACATGACCACTTTCTTGGCCCACACAGCTGTTGCCTCCATCTGTACCATCTATGACCTGCTGTGTTCTCCTCCTCCACTAACTGTAGTGGGAAACTGCTCAGTGCACAAATAGGACAAAATAGTGCACCTCTGGAGGATCACGGGAAACAATAACACTCAGATTTGTGACTATGTTTTGCTGCTCATTGGCACAAATAACCCCTGCGGTGTGGCATTTCGCTGTGAATCCATTAAATAAGCACCTAGACCTTTTGTATTTTTCCCTTTGCAACAGTTGTTTGCATGTTATTTTCCATGCGAGACCCATCCTGTACTGGGTTCAAGCCGAGATCATTTTATTTTTATTGTCTCTTGTCATTCACGTTGACCCTGAATCTGTGTTGGTTACAATACAATACATATAATATTCTGGGCAATCAACACAAAATGTCTACCGCTTCATCCATCTAGGACTGAAACAATTATTCATTTATTTATTGAATGTGAAAATTTGTAAACTGAATGTCTTTGTGTTTTGGACTTTTAGTGGGACAAAAGAAGACATTTTAAGACCACTCTGGGCTTCAGAAAATTGTACTGGGCATTTTTTGGGAGATATTTTAGATGTAAAGATGATTAAAAAATAAAAATATTTACGTACTTCGTACTGAAAACTACCTATCAAATCTGGATTATTTGCAGGTGCATACAAACCCAGGATCTCTAAGTAGGTTTGGTTCTTAATTTGTCTTATCCAATCAACAGAGTAAGTCAGATTTATGGCGCAGTGAGTTAAATTTTGATTGTATGACATGAATCAGGCTCAGAAGACAAAACAGAGAACACTCATTCTTAATGTTTTAGGCTTTAGGTGAACTCATTAGTGATGGACGGACTTGGTCCATGTGCCCTTGCTAATCAGGAACCAGTGAGCGGAGGATAAACAAGTGAGAGAGGCCTGTTCTGATGACGCCCGCTCCCAGGGAAGAGTCACATCTGTGTCCTCTCCTAAGGTCAGCCCCTGTTCACTCTGTGTCGCTGTGCTGTAAAAAAAATAATAAAATGTGCTGTCTGCTTGCCGAGCAAACATGAAAACACTCTCAGATTTGAAGGCTGCATTACAGGGAGAGGCGAGGGAGACGTCTTGACAGTGTGCTGGAAGAGACTGTGAGGAGGAGGTTTGGAGTAGAACTGATACGTAGAATGTAGATTATATTTACTATTAAATCTATTAAATCATTATATACAGAAACATTCAAATTTACCTTTTTCACAACAGACATTTTGCATGACATAGCAGGAAAAGCACAAGTTTAAATGATAATATAAATAACGGCTGCGTTCAATTTAGCTCTGCTGGCTTTTGGACCCTGCCACTGCATACAAGCTCACTGATACACTTAAATGGTACAGAGCCATTGTTAACAATATGCTTTTCTTGTTATTACAAGTCAACATATCTGCTGTGAAAAAGGCCCACATTCACACCAACATTTTCACTACATAAGACTTCCATTTCTCCCACTGACATACATAATCCCACATCTGTTGTGATCCATCGACCATATTTTCTATTGTATGCAGTGTTGCCAGATTTGGCGATTTCTGGTACAATTGTGCTACTTTTTATTTACTCTGCCAGGTTCCACTGACAAAAATGTATATATAGTTTCAATAAATTGTTCCCTCCTCTCCTCTGACATGCCTCAGCTTGACATGCAATGACTGATAATCAAAACCAAAAATAATAACAACACTATGGTTTAATACAACTATTCGGTCAACACTGATAAAAAAAAGTTGTTCTCTTTCATATATGTGAAGACTTAAGGTTAAGTGTAACATTGTTTAAATTAAACACATTATACCAAATGTCTCATTTTTAATGTTGATCCATTGGGTGTGTTCTGGGGTCTATATGTCTGTTCAATTTGTGTAATCTTATGTCACATTGCACTAATAAAAAAGGTCAGTTTAAGTAGTAATAGTAACTAAAAATTAAAAGGTAGCTGTATCACAATGCATGTACTGCAATAAAACCTGGAAAAATCAGCTGCTTAACAGCTTAACAAATTCACCCTGATATGTATGAATTTTGTTTATATTTGGTTCCTAGTTTATGGACCTATAGTTTAATTACAATGATGTAATTGTTAAATCAAGTTGAATTTGGAGTCAGCATTCAGACTTAAACTGATTGAATTTTATTTCCTTTTAATGTAAATAATGGACTCTGGACTGTCACCAGAAAATGTCACTTTTTTGAATTGCAATTAAACTCTGTAGTGCTCTCTAGAGGTCAGAAGCCAGTAATGCAAACACACAGACAGCTGCCTGCAGTATAGTAGACTTGTTACCATCAACCACTTTCATTTCTATATAACAGCAGACTTTATTTTGAAATACAGACCGGAAAAACCTATAAAATGTTGAGAAAACAATCTCATAACTTTCTGATTTTTAAATAAATTTTTTATTTTTTTTTTAGATAGTTCTGTCAAGGTTAAGAATAAACGTTTAGCTTCAACTGTAAAATTAATTTCAAAACACAGCAAACTTATTTTAACATTTATTGGTGCTTTCTACATTTATTCAGCTATTTTAAAAGGAAAAAAAGCTTGAGCAGAGACTCCAACAAGAGGCACATTAGAGGATAAAACTAATCAAATCAAGATTTACAGATAACCAACCTCAGATGAGGTCAGAATATCTTCTTTCACAGGGAAAGTGTTACTGTGGTTTGAACCCAGCACTGATGAGGTTTGCACTGGGACTGTAAAACACACAAAACAAATTAGATCAGCTGATCTAACACAAAGGCTTTAACTGGCCCTTTTCGGGTTGTTTGGAGCGTTTCTACCCAGCGGAGAAGCTACAGTAGATGCCCCAGTGATCACTAATGTAGCGTCCACAGTCCAGCTTCTCCAGTCCCACCAGGGCCATGTGATCGGGGGCCAGGCGTGGGACGCCGTCCTTGTTAGCTGGGCGGAAATAGACCCGGTCGAAGCGGCAGCGACTGACATAAGGAACAGTCTTGTTGCTGTTGGCTTTGGTGTCCCATGTGTAGCGGCAGTGTTCCTGCTTTCCCAGTCGCTCCCACACATCGCACACACTGGGGGGCAGACCCACCTTGGCCACCTGAATGGAGCCCAGAGCAATAATTACTAGAGAGGAACACTGTGTGATTACGTGTATGGGGTAGAAACTCCATTGTTGTAGATATAATTCGGGCTTTTGAGCCACAGATGATTTTGCACACATGATACAAAGACAAACGACTAACCTCAGCGTCCCTCAGGTTGGTGTCCCCTCCAAACAGGACGGTGACATCGTCTGGTGCCTCCCTCATCCTCTGCATCACCACTCGCAGCTGTTTCATCCGCTCCTCTGCTTGGCCTTTACAGCTCTCCAGGTGGGACGTCATCAGACACAGCCTCTGGCCTTTGAAGTCCACCTGATTTTCAAAATGAAAAAATCCAACATTGTATCAGCTGAGGTGAGCTGAAGTTAAGCACATGCCATTAAAGTGTTTGGACAACTATGTGTGCACAAACCTGAGCTACAAGCAGATTTCTCATCATCTGAGTTGTGGGGTAAGTTACTATCTCGCTCTCCGCGAATTTGACTCGTGACTTCTTCAGCATCATCCCAGTGAAGTAACCTTCCTCGCCACCTGGTAAGCACAAATTAAGATAGTTTAAACTGCTGAGCACGGCCAAAGTTTATCCAATATTCTGTGGTGGGGCCTTGTTTATATTAAGTACAACATACTGTGCACCACCCCGGACAAAATATCTCCAATTCTTTTACACAGCAGACATTTTGACTGATAGAAGGAAAAGCACAGGTGCTTCTAAAAACATTAATTATGGCTCTGTTCTATTCAAGTGCCCCAGTAAGCCAACATGATGATCCAGCCGTCATTAGTTTTGTTATTTACACCTGTGCTTTTCCTACTGTGACATGTGAAAAACTATTAGCTGAAAAAGGCCTATTAGACTTACTGTACCTTCAATGATTAGGTAGCTGACGGCCCGTTTCTTCAAGTACTGGACGTAAGGTGGAATTAGCTCCTGTAGGAACACCACGTCAGGGGTGTATCTACACGAAGAGAAGATTCACATTTCAAATATTATTTGCATTCCATCTGTCTGATTTGACCCCTGAAACCCTGAACTACACGTTGTATCTCCTCTGATATCAACAGTTTAATGAATAAGATTGAATTGTCTCCCACAAATAAAATATCAAGAGATGCCAACAAGGAGCAACAGTGTATAAACACAAGCTTACAAGACTAAAAAGGAGCACAGGCCTCTGGCACGCTCTGCAAGGTTGTCTGTGTCAAGTCCGTCCACGTTCCAGGAGATCAGTGACAGCTTATTGTCATCTTCTTCTGAGGGTTTGCGTGAGGAGGCCGGACTGTCTGCAGTCAAATCTATACTGGGTATTTTTTGGAGTGGAGACTGTTAATTTAGAGCTGTTAAATAGGTTGGTTATAACACAAATAGACAGTCATGGGTAGATGTGATCACACACAGTAATGAGGGACGTACCAGTCTCCTGGAGGCTTTTCCTCAACCTTCTGCCTCTTTGTTTTGGGGCCAGTCTCCCTCTCAGGAGAATCTTCTACTGCAAATACTCGCTCCATATCAGCCTCAAAGAATGAGTTCAAAGCTCTCTGAAAGAAAAGAGATGGTTATGGTAATTCAGGTCCAAGATTAGACACTGATTAGCACTTTTAACATTAGAGGCTGACCTAATCAGTGAAATAAGCTGCAGCAGTGTTGGATTTATTCGTCATACTGGCCACGAGCTGTATCTGTCTGCAACAGTAACATATCCAGGTAATGTGACAGTAGAGAGGCCTCAGTTGGTGTAGCTACTATACCTCCATCTCCCATTCATTTTCAGCCAGGTAGCACTGAGCCACAGCGCTGTCAGTTCCCGCTACTGCAGCAAACTCATCGCACAGACGACTTCTGTTTTCTTCCACATTAGAAACTGACGGGTTTTCCGAGTCGGATGTAGAAGCCATCTTTTATTTACACCAGTTTTACTTACGGAACTACACAATAAAAGTTGAGCTAAATGCAGATATTATGCCGTGTTCATTTTTCTCTGCAAGTTTTTTTGTTTTCAGGTGTAGCGGTGAAAGGCTTCCGGGTGAACTTTCTAGTCACAACGAACTGCTTAAATGTGAATACTATACAATTTTACATATATAGTTACTAATGTATACCACCACATATTGTTATCATTGCGGTGCTGTTTAGTTTCTGAACACCACATCAGGCCAAAACGAAGCTGAATTAGCTTTTAGCTGATTAGCTTTAAATTTCACCCGGACGATTTATCGAACGCAACAGTTTCCGGTCCAGTCCGAAGTCAACAGCTGTTTGACATTGGCCGCTTGAATACGCGTTAAATATGGTTTCCCTCTCTTTAAATTCGTTAAAACAAATAATGAGATCAATGGTGAATAGTCCATGCTTCGACAGAGTCATGAGCAAGGTAAAGACATTTTATCGTTCATGTAAACAACAGTTTAACGTAGCCGGAGAGCGGGACGTGGAGAGGAGGTTGTGGTTGTGGGGGAAAGTTTGACGAGAGTTGTTATTGACTATACGAATGAATGTAATATGAATATAAATTCATAAAAATGTGAATGTAACAATCGTGGGTGATACCTCGGATGGAGATAGCGATAGCATGTCATGGCAAAGAGAGAAAACAGTGCATGGAGAAAAGATCAGTGGTCATATTCCAGGGGATGCAGCAAAGCTTAGAGGTCTTATTTAATATGTATCAGTGGCAATAACTATGGATAAGATCAGTGAAGGGAGGAGAGCTTATAGCACGGGAAATAATTGAGTCATCTAAGAAGAGTGCTTGGAGACAATTGGTAGAGAAATAAAATTGGGTGACATTTGGTCAATGATTAAAAAGATGAGTGGGAAAAGAAACTCTGTTAAAGTCCCAGTGCTAATAGATGGAGAATATCTGGCAGTTACAAATAAGGAGAAAGCTAAGTTGCTGGGTAAGAAATGTGCAAGTGTACATAGTGGAAGTCATTTAGACAAAAAAACATAAAGAAAAGATGAAATTTTAATAGTAAATACTGATGTGACAAAGAGAAGAGATAGTGATGGATCAACACTTGAAAATGGCCTTAGCTGAGGAACTACTATTCGAGTGAAGATGTTCAAAGTTGTCACTGGTATATTGGGTTAAGTTAAAGGGATCTGGAAAAGAACAACCTGCAACAGAGGTGCTGTGTGATTATTGGGAATAATCAAAACAAAGAAAATGTAAAGTATTTGGTTGGAACATTAATACAGTTGTAGAAGACTATGGCTTAAATAGGTTAGAGTATGGACCAAATACTGTGTGGGGTAATGCTCCTCCATGGATATGTCCAGTACCAAAAGTGAACTTAAAACTTGTGGAGCAGAAGAGAGAACGGGTTGAAAATAAGGTGGATATTAGATATGTGATTCAAGATTATGTAAAAAGAATTATTACAATTACTTGACAATATTTACTGATGAATCCAAAGATCCAGGACATAGACGTGTAGGAACCGGGGTATACATACCTGAGTTTGATATAGTCATATGCAAAAGACTTAATGATAGATTTTCTGTATTTACAGCAGAAATAACTGCAGTCATTTTAGGATTACAATGGATAGAAGAGGTAAGGCTAGAGCTCTTAATAGTTTGAACTCAAAGGAAACAATAAGAGATGATTTATTAATGGAGATTAATAGGATGATGTTGAGGAAACAAAGAGGTGGAACTGATGTACAGTTTTGCTGGTGTGGAGGGAAATGAGAAAGCTGATAAGATTGGCAAGAGATCGTTAAAATTAAATGATGATGAAATACTGGATTAAAATCAACTCTTTACTTAATATCAAAGTGTATTTCAGATAAATGTGATGTTTGTGATGTTCCTGAAGATGTTGAGCATGTCATTCTGAGGTGTTGTAAATACAATGCAGAGAGTATTTTACATGATAAATTAGGATATATGAGTTAGGTCGGGTGTGGAGTTTGGAAGGGATTCTTGGGTTGAGCGGAAAAATAAAGGAATGTAGTAAGGCTCTCTTTAATTTTCTTAAAGATACAGGATTAGATGGTAAAATATAGTTTGCTTGTGGGATTATTATTTTTGTTTTTGTTTTGTTATTTGTGTATTTTATTTATTTTTTATTTAATAAAATGTAACCTAACCTGTAACGTCGGCACTGTTGCACCGTCACAGATAGATATGTGATTTCCACAGATGGACGTCTTGTCTGCCAGCCCGGGTAAGGTGGTGTGTGAGATGCGGGTGGAAGAGGAGCACACCAACCGAGGAGGGACGCTACACGGCGGGTTGACAGCCACCCTGGTCGATGTCGTCTCCACCATGGCTATCATGTACACTGAGAGGGGAGCACCAGGAGTCAGTGTGGATATGAACATAACGTGAGTCCGTGAACGGTATACACTTTCCAAAGCTTCAAAAGAGTTATTCCCCAAAAACCTTTGAATTACCTGTAGAATAAGCTGTGAAATGTGCACATATGTAACTACAGATTGAACTGGATGCGTGATTCATAACGTCATATCTAATGCCATTTATTGTGGAATAAACCGAAAACATGGACCTCCTTCCTCCACATTTCAGGTATAGTTGTTAGTTTTAAAAATATTGATATCAGCAAAAAGAAAACCTTTACTTTTTAATTTGAGTTAACTATGTTGTAATATTTTCTGACTTTTGTTTGGCCTAGAAGTCAGATGTGTCTAAAAATACTTCTATCAACATATAAAATACAATGTGTAATTTTTTGATGCAAATGTAAACTCATCCCATGTTCCTAAAACCCCTAAATGTCCCAGAGAGAGACGGAGGACACGATCTCCTCTACTGCCTGGCAAAACAAAATGTTTCATCACCATGGGACCCCTAAAAATGTACCCTGTCTTAAAATAAAATGAGTTTAACCTCACCACCACTGTGTTCCCATTTATTCCCAGCGAGGGTGACCTTGACCTTCAGTGTGTTAACCAGGTGAGATTGAAGATTAACTTCATAAACTACAAATGACTGGGAACAAATGTCAATGTCTTACAGATACATGAACGCTGCCAAGATTGGAGAGGACGTACTCATCACTGCTCAGGTTCTGAAGCAAGGACGGACGCTGGCGTTTGCCACCGTAGACCTCACCAACAAGGCCACAGGGAAGCTCATAGCTCAAGGAAGACACACCAAACACCTTGGCAGCGGCTAAACTGCCTCCCCTCTGTGTCTGTTTGTAAATCACATATGTAACTATAATGTCAAAGCAACAGTAGCTGTAAACTGACCTCTGCCTGTAAATAGTTTGCAAAACCACTGACCAATGCTACAAATCGATCTCACAGCTGGTTACTTAATTACCGGTCTAGTTACCACTCTTACGTATTTGTTGTCAATACTACTGTATCAATGGTACTGTTTCATGCACATGCAATAAAACAAATAGACAAGAGTTATGCTTTCAGAATTTGCACTGTATTGGGATATGCTCAGCAGTATTGATTTGAGAATCAACAGAAAAAACCCAGAAGTTACACGCCTTATACCCTTTCAACTGAACACACTGAATCAACAAGGAGCAAAATTATATGTACTTCATATTCTTTGACAAACAAAAAGCCTGCAAAAAACCCCAATTTTAATTTGATGAGCATGGCAGCAAATCATCTTAATTTTAGTAGGTCAAATTAAACAAAAATCAGTTAGCTTTCAGCAACTTTTGTTAGGTATGTTAAACATTAGGTATGTCACCATTTCAGTTTCTCACCAACCCACATCCCAAATAAAAACAGAACATAAAACATCAGATTTCAGTAGCTTAAATGAATGGTGCATGAACGTCTTGAACGGTGACAATGACCTTCAACATCTAACCAACATGTCTCAACTTTGTGTACAATGCCTTTCAAGTCACTCAAGATTTTAGCAAAGGCCTGCCTAGCATGTTTCAGAGAAAAGCAAATGACACCAAAACACTTTTAAAAGTCCAGCAAAAAAAAACTAAGGCGGTTTATAAGAAGCAATACCTACACCATATGATTTGACAAATATTGTTCATCTTGTTTTCTTTGCTTATACAGGTGTTTTAACGCCTATTCACACCTGTCCTTGGTCAAAAGATTGTGTAAAGTTGTTCTAGAAACCCCATTGACATTACAAACAAGCTTTAACAATCCTTTCTTATGACAACAAGGATATAAAAACACGTCCATCTGAGAACCACCGTGAAGACCTGTGTATTGTTTGTTCCTGTTTTGATGCAACATAAAGAGTTCCTTCAATGACCGGTGCTGTTGACGGTGCGGCTCCAAGAGAACAACCAACCACTCAAAATCAATGTTCGTGCAGGTTCAAATAAACAAAAAATGGATGAGTGAGTAAGAGGGAATGAAGAGGGAGTGAAATAATAATAAAAAAAAAGAATGGGGGAACCAATCCAAAAATGGCAGAGAGAAGAGGAGGAACATTGGGAGCGTGAGGGGAACAAAGAAGGATGGGAACTGAATCAGCTTCAGGTCAGGGAGGGGAGAACGAGTAGGTAACAAAAAAAAAAAAAAAAGGAGAAATCCAAGCACAAGTTCAAATCTTTTAAAAAGGAAACGGGTGGAGATGAGTACATCAATTTGCTTCTGAAGGCTTAGGCAGGAGGGAGGGGAAGGGCTTTTCCCTATGTGGCTGAGTGGAGCAGGAAGCCTTAATCAGGCATGTATGGGCGGAGGTGATCCTCGATGTCTCCCACACCCCAGCAGGTCAGCTGGTCCTGGGGCAAGTAAAGGCAGAGGCTGCACAACTTGAAAACTGTGGCCTTGGTTTTAGGAGTCTGCAGGAGAGGTGGACATTTGTGATAACGTGTTAGGATGCTGCCGGAGGTTTATCAACTGAGAAACGTTATGATTTCCGTGCACTGACTCACCTGTAAGTGCTGTCTATCCATGAAGAGAAATACAGACTGAGTTGGGTTGTTCATGACCATTCCAGCCTTGTCTTTACGGCCCAAAGCATGCAAGCACTGCTTCTCATAGTCTCCGTGATGAAATTCAAACTTGGCCTGTAAGTCAGTAGAGACATGTGAGCCAAGAAGAACATTCTGTTACATCCAGGCATATCAAATTGACTTCATTACTAAAATATCTAGATTTTTCAAAATGTCAAAAGTCTACATTGTGAAAACCAAGGTCAAATAAGACATTTGAACTATTTTATCGATTACTCTGGAAATCTGCATTTAATCGATGATGAAAATAATTAGTTGCAGCCGTGATTACAATCAAAATACCAACGGGCTTTTAACATTTGTAGCCCGACTAATCTGACGAGGTGCCCAGTTCTGACCTGAACAGGCCTAAAGGGTTCATCATCGGCCCCCTTCCATCTGGAGAACAGCAGACAGACAATCTTCTCAATATCGTTGCGTGGCCAAAGGATGAAGTCCATCTCCTGTGTGCAGCCTATCACATCCTACAGCAATATGAGAAGGAAGAACAAACGTAAAACACAACTGAACATCGTCTTCCTTGAGCTATCCCCCTACCCGAGATGGCGCACGGACTTACCCTTCGCATTGACTGGTATCGGGGGGCGTGTAGTTGCACAACATCTTTTTGCAGGAGTTCTATCGAACTCTCGAGAGAGTAGCTGGAATCCCGCACACCTCTTAGGATGTTTTCTTCATAATTGTTGGTCATCACTGGCACAACTTCAGCTACCTCAAAAAGTGCAGACTTCTTCTTCTGACAAAAAAAAAAACAGATACAAACACATATTTAAGTAATCGTTTTTAAGTACGAATAGTCACTTTTAATGTGTAATGAGCAAATACTGAAGAATATCATGTTGCATGTGAGGAGATTGTGTCAAGAATTACTGTATTCTTCCATTTTACTGACAAACCTTTTCTTTGAAAACGAAGGCTATATAAATCTTGAAGTCAAACTGATCAGCCAAAGATTCCCTTTTCTTCCGAAGTTGAGCTCGAAGTCGATTTCTTGTCTGATTTCTTCGTGAAGTTGGGTCCCCCATGGTTAGATTTTGATGGTAGTGTCTTCCTCTCTTGTGCAGAATATTTTTTGGCTACACTCTCTACTTTTGTATTTATACGTTGGATAAAGGATGGAGCTAGCTACCCTTTCCAGAGACAACGCATCAAACGACTCTAGGCTAGATCTGTGAATTACCCACTAGCTACCAACTGAAAAGGACAACAAATCAGAAACAAAACTAAGTCATTTTAATTTTTGTAAAAAGGGCAGTGTTGAGGAGGGGAATGACCAACAAGCTAAGACTACATCTCCTTATTACTTGTTCAGAAATCCATGTTTTTTTAAGACATGACTTTTAAGCCAAATTAGCTTTTTTTTTTCTCTCCTCTTCTTTTGTTCAACCTGCCATCGACAAGGGGATTTACAACAGAGACCTAAATGAAAGAGCAACTCAAATTTGACTTAACTTTTTTTTTTTTTTTCTGTGTTACTGAAATCAACAGAAACAGCTGCTACTGTAAAAAACCCATACCGGCAATATATATTTTTTTGCTAGTGAAATTGAGGAGTACAGAGACTAGCAAGCAGACAAATATCCTATTGTTTGGGTCATTTCAAAGTCCCTCATCCATGGCTGTCGTTTTGTGTGTGTGTGTTTCTCTGTAGAGACTGCGTTATGTGCGTTTTACAGACGAGTTGGGGATACAGACGAACATGGCAGGTAAATACAGATGCCAGGAGATATTGGCACCGGGTAACATCGAAGACTACTGCGAAAGTACCTTGACATTTCCTTGACTGTTACTGCCACTCATTTGGCCCACGGCCTGCGGTGCTGCCACTGCCGATAGTCATGATGTGGGCGTATTTTTAGCACACTAGCTAGGGTGAGCTAGCAAGCTAATCTAGGCATTCACTTCCAACACTAACTAGTAGTGAACCAACGATATAGCTACATCTTATCTTCTGACTGATTGGCTTAATTGAGGCCTATGTGTGGTCGGCTATCTAGCGTACAGTCATCTTTCCACGCGTTTACATTTTCTCGTCTGGTTCAATGTGACTGCCAGTGCTGTGAGAGTCGAGAGACCTGCGGGTTTGACCGACTAACTGGTTTCGCTTGTGCTCAGCATTTTAGCTCCGGTGTAATTTGCTTCAGTCGCGTCTTGTCAACGACTACATCGACTAAAAATAAAACAAAGAATCAGCCCGGGAACCAACTGCCAAAACCGACGACTGCACGCTGAATGGCGAAATAAACGTTAGCTCGACAAAATCTCCCCTTTCCACGTCTGAAGTTTCGAGGTGTTTGCTGCGCTTGTTTTCTTTCTCTTCTTTTCTTCAGTCGTCACAACCTCCGACTCGCCCTGCTGCATGCCATGTCAAGATAAATCGACAATCCAGCTGAAATCCTCCGTTCTTTCAGTCGACATGTATCGTGTTCTGTCTCCCGGTGGGCCCATATTTTCACGGCGTGTCGTCCAACGTTTTTCCGTTTGGTTTCTTTGTGTGTTTTTTGTTGTTGTTTTTTTTTTTGTCTGTGGGCAGCTAATAACGGCACAGACAAGCTCGTCGATCCACAGCCTCCCCAAAATGGCTGCACAGTCAACTACAAAGATGTGACGTGTGCTGACATGTGACCGCACGAGGAGAGAGAGGAGAAAAAAAACAAAACTCCTTCCTCGTGAGTGGCGCCGTTACCACGTGACTGAGTGGGCGTATTTAAGCTCCTGGCGCGAGATCCACAGTTAAGAAAAGGCAGTTCATCCGCGAGGTTCGTCTCATCAACGGTAAGTCGACTTAACCTAAGTTAATATTGCTTTAATTTAATTAAATTATCTCCACATCTGCTGCTCGTTAAGTACAGTTGGCTACCTTTGTGTTAGTATTATCCGCGGGGCCACTTAAATCAGCTTGTTTTAACGTTAGTTAGTCTTTTGTAACGTTTCCACGGGGTTTCCTGCGGAGGTGACGACACATTTAACGTTAAACAAGCTAAAGTCACATTTTAAGGTTAACAAATGGTGTTAAAATCTAACGACACTAAGCTATTGACTTCCTCTAAGCTAACTCAAAATATCGCCAGCTATTTTCTCAAATGTGTGTCACTATGTCCGCTTTAAAGAATGGTGACGTTATGTTAATTTCCCCTTTTAGGTATCTTGAAAGAAAATGAGTTTCGGTGCAAAGCTTAAACACAGCCAACAGATGTCTAATGAAAATATAAAGGTGAGTCATTTGTGTATTCATTCAAGGGGTAAGATATTATCACGATACTTTGTTGTTATCATTGTTTGTGTGGATGATGTCAGCATACAGGCCATTTTGACATGATTAACAGTCGGTAGCAGTTAAAGAAAGATGCCATTTAAAAGGCAAATTTATCAGGAAGAACGCGTTTTTTAACCTGTTCATTCTCAATAAAGTGTGCCCAAGAATTACTCTAAGGTTTTATTTAAATTATAAGCTTCCTTCTATGTTAAAATGTCTGCCAATCAGAGCAGGCTGTTAAATAACTGCAGCAACAAGACTTATGTGTCAGTGTTGTATTGAGTGGCAAAAGATGATTTAACTTCATTGTTTGGACTGAAGTGAGGGTGACTCTACCGTCATTATTCAGACCAATTTAATGACCTAAATATATAAATGTTGTACTTTCAGACATTGTCTCCACCTCAACTCAAAATTGCCAAAAGATCACCTTATGTAGACCTGAAACACACTAGCAGTGTTGTGAAGCTGTGGCCAAACATTAACCCGCTTGGCTTGTTGTCGGCTCTGTAATGAGCCCGGAGGAGAAACTTTCCCACGGCTGAAAGAATTTATGCTCTGCCCCTGTTCACACACCTGTGGGCCTGTTGCACATGGCAGCAGTGCTGTTGAGCCACTTCACTTATGCCCTCTACCATGGTGACAGTGTAACTAAAGTAAAGCGTGCAAAGTGATGCTAAGCCCTGATGAATAGGCTTTGAAAATGAGGACACAGGTCATGTTAGTTTCCCGTGTGACTCGAGAGTTTTTCCAAGACTCACCTTGGAAGGGGGTTAGGATCTTTTACCATTCTTGTATTGCTCATTTGTAATCTTCTCAGCTATAAGGTAACACTTTTTGTCTTCCAGAGCTTTTTCACACCGTCTCAAAAGGCAATGGGACCCCCCAGACAAACCCTGCAAGTTCTCCAACCCTCGGCTGTCAACAAAGATTTGGGAAGGTCGGCTCAGGTATGCAGTGGCTTGTGAAAGTCATTTGATTTGGGCGTCTTGTCAATGTTCACATTAGATCAAAACTGTTTAAAATTGTTCACTAACAGAACAAGAAATCTGTAGCAATCAGTTTTATTTTTTTGGTTTTTTTTACACTTTTAAAAAAAGCCTCTAAATGAGTTTCCCCTTTTTAGATGGGTAAGGTTGTTCCCAAACGGAAACAATGGAGCGCAGAACAAACTCGGGGTCCAAAGAGGGTGAAGGTAGAAGTCAAATCCACACAAACAGAAGAAACTCAGTGTTCGTCGGATGGCATGTCCAGTGAAGCTTATGAACTCATGGTCAAAGGTAGGTAGAGATTCATGATTGACAAACTGTAGAGTCACAACAGGAAGTTTCAATTTATCTTGAATAATTGCTGTTCTAGAAACTCCCCCTTCCACCTACTGGAAAGAGGTAGCCGAGGAGCGTCGGAAGGCCTTGTACAATGTTCTACAGGAGAATGAGAAGGTGAGTTAATCACTAAGAGATGGCTAATGTTTAGCTGCCAGTTGAGCTGTTCCCACGCTCCCACTGACTGAGTCAACCTTAGTTGGCCTCAGTCCAGCTGGCAGTGAATTTTTATGTAACTCTGCACCTAAAAGATACTCTTATTTGCCTCTAAGAAAACTATCCTAAGGTGCCATTCCTGTAATGTTTAAAAACCTGTACACTTGTTTGGAACTGATTATTTTGAATTTTTT